GGATTATATAAATCAGATTATACCAATGGGATTATGTCCCTGCCTACAAGATGACAAAAAGCTATCGAACAATGGTACCTACATACTTTAGTTAAATGTAAATAAACTATATTAAAAAATAAATTGACAATATTTCTTAAAAAATGCGAAGCTACTTTTTCCCCAATCTTATATATATATTTATATACAAGAATTGCTCGTTTATAGATATAAGATATAAAGTACATACATATATATACATGTAAGATGCGAATGCATGTATACAGCTCTAACACGAACGAGCAAAGCGTCTGATTAAGTTGAAGAACCGAACCGGTTCGACCTGGTAGATTATTATGGGGACATTAAGATCTTCGTGTAGATTGAAAGCGTGCATAATATTAAGCATGCGCGCGTTAATTCAATGAGACATAATTTTCGATTAAGTGACATTTAGTTTTTGTTTTTTTTTGTTTTTGCTACTATAGTGAAATCAATGGCGCATAAACAGTAAAATCGATTGAAAAAAATCGATAGTGATATTTTCTACTTTATATTTTTATGTGTGTTTAACCGTTATCTTCGTCATAATAAAAATACTAGTGGTCGCCCATCGGTCGAAATTCGACCATAATTATTAATTTAAATGATTATAGTTCATTATCAAAGACTTTACTTCTATAATTTTTTTTTTTATTGCCCTTGTAGGCAGACGAGCATACGGCCCACCTGATGGTGAGTGGTTACCGTTGCCCATGGACTTCAGCAATGCCAGGGGCAGAGCCAAGCCGCTGCCTACCGCAAGACCTACCTACTATAATCACAGATTTAGCCCAGGCTACATTATAGACAAACATTATTCATCTATTCCCAATTTGTCCACAGACTTTAACAGTAAACAAAAGAGTGTATGTGCGTGCGTGTGTGTGTGTCAAATACATGGTAGTGTGTGTAATGTTTTTTTTTTATTGATTTAATGTATTTTTCATGGATAATTAAAGAGAAATATAAGCATTCTACCTTTTTTCTATATTCTCTATAAGTGTCCGCGCAATTTTCGTAAAAAGGGGTACAAAGTTTTTGCTTTCCGTATTAATATATAGATGAAAAGGTCACATTATTAGATGTAATCGATGTACTCATGAAATCGGTGTTCAATTATTTTTTTAAATACATGTAACTATTTTATCTTGAGATCTATGACAGAGGTAACAATTTACAACAACAACTTTACCTTACAATCGTAAATTATGAAGATATATCGTATGTGCAGTAACTTACTCGCTAAATGTCTGTTCGAATATTATTATGTACTCAAATTTAACTTGACGAGCTAGGCTGGATTGAAGCTATGAGCATAACTCAAACCCTTATAACGAACTTATAAGCTTAACCTTAAATCAGAGCGAAAATAATGTGCTTTAGCTAACTACTAACTTAACTAAACATAAGTAATTTTTTTTTTGTTTTTTTTTTATTCCTTAGATTGATGGACGATCCCACAGCCCACCTGGTGCTAAGTGAGAGTAAGTTGAAATAAGTTCTAAAGTCTCAAGTATAATTACAACGGCTGCCCCACCCTTCAAACCGAAACGCATTACTGCTTCTCGGCAGAAATAGGCAGGGTGGTGGTACCTACCCGCGCGGACTCACAAGAGGTCCTACCACCAGTGCAGTCGTATTTGAATAATATTTCATGAGTCATTCATTTCGGGTTTCCCGCCTTCGCGGCAGAAGTGGGATGGATGGTCCAGCGCTCGTGCCTACCCACCCGTACAAGTTAATCTATCTTACAAGTCTAGTCTTACCAGTATTATGAATAGAAGTCGTTCATGAAAAATGAGTACCTATCCTTATTCGTTTTCAATCTTTCAATCTTTTTCGTCCGTCTGGTGTAGTGGTAAGTGACATGGTCACTACACTAGGGGGTCGCGGGTTCGAATCCCGCCAAGGGAAGATATTTGTATGATAAATATAAATGTCTTTTCCAGGGTTATGGATGTATATTAAATATATGTATGTGTATAATAAAAATCTTACATTTATTTCCGATATATGGTACCTTTAACACAAGTTCTTTACGAACTTATCACGGGACCGGTTAACGTGGCGTGATTGTTAGTAAAATATTTATATATTTAATAAAAAAAATATTAATTTTATTAATTCATTAGAACAAAACAAACAAAATTAAATGCAAAATTATTACAAAGTCATCAATTGAAATGTAAATGTAAATAAACAACGCAATATATCCATCAGACGACGGACACTTCAAATAAGACAGCCGATTAATTAGAATCACAAGTTTCATGACTAATTAAATTTTAAACAAAACCGATCCTAAACTTTATGCAAAAAAGTTTTTTTTTTTTTTTCAATACAAAAAACCGTAAAACAACTCAAATAATATAATCAAAACAATTATATGACCCTAATTAGATTCGTGTCACTGGGTCGTCGACTGCGAATTGTTTGCATTTTCATACACATTAATATTAATAGGCGAAGTGAAAGTGAAGCAATTAGGGTAATAACCATGAAAGTTTATAAGAAAATTTTACCTGAGCTTTATTACTCCATTATGCCTTGAGAAGCGAACCTATGGAAGTATGATTAATTTTGAAATGTTCCCAAGTAACTTGTCTACATTGTTTTTTTGTGAATTTTCGTTTTGAATGAATGTATCCGTAATTATATCTGTTTCGGATTTTATTCCGGCTTTGTATACTTAATTGTTCTTCACATTGTAAATTACTAACAACTTTAATTTAATTATGTTTAGTAAACATTATGTATTTTTGTAAACGAATGTTTGCGTAGATCTTTTTTTTTAGATGGGTGGACGAGCTCACAGCCCACCTGGTGTTAAGTGGTTACGGGAGCCCATAGACATGTACAAAATAAATGCCGCCACCCACCTTGAGATATGAGTTCAAACCGAAACGCATTACTACTTCACGGCAGAAATAGTCAGGGGGGTGGTACGTACCCGTGCGGACTCACAAGACTTCCTACCAGCACTAACAGCTTTGCATCAATTTACTATTTAAACTATATTTTCAAAACAAAACCGCTCAAATTCACTCATGCCTTGGATACGGTCATTTAACGCAAAACATAATCTTCAAATAAATAATTCATGATAATACATAAATAACTAGACATAAGTAGTCTAACAATTAAAAATACTTGTACGAATGAATATCATTTTTTTGTCATTATTTTTATAATATAACTTTACTATTTTCGTTATCACGGCTATCAAAGCAACGTAATTGTAACAACCACGCATAATTTTCACTAGACGATGACCGAGCTTTGCCCGGTTTTTTTTTGATAACGCCATCTTGTAGTGTCTTTAAAGCGGTTAGTTGCCCTCAATTAAGAAAAATAGTATTATTATTCGCCAATAGATGTCGGGAAGAGTTGATTATTGAAAACACGAATAAAACAACATTTTCTGAAAATAAATCGTAGCTAGATCGATTTATCGCCCCCGAAATCTCCTGTATACTAATTTTTATGAAAATCGTTGGAGCCATTTCCGAGATTCAGATTATATATATATATATATATATATTAATATACAAGAATTGCTCGTTTAAAGGTAAGATAAAGATAGAAACGTGTCTATAATATATTTTATACTTTACAATTCATATTAATTTCTTATCACATTACACTATCTTTTAATATGTCAAAATCGAAACGTTGCTCTATCCATCAGACGCGTCTACAGATCCCGTAAAACATATTACTATAATCACCTCCCGACGCTATATCGAACGGTAAGAACGCACAATCTATTTCCAATACAGAAGCCGTTCAGAATAAATTGGCTACTTCATGTTGTAATGAATCGAAGCCTGTAATGTTAAGAAAAGCAATTAATTCCCCGCGTTATTGGATTCCAATAGGAAAGCCGTCTGTCTGCGTTCGCTAGTTTTCCATTAGTGCGTAATATACTAAGGATGTCACTTTGTAATGAAATTGATGAATTTACTTAGACAGTATTAGATTGAAGACTCGTGACAAAAAGTATGATACAATGTTTCGTAAATCAAATTGAATAAATTTGAAACGGATATGTGCATAAAATTAATGTAGTAATAAATCAATAAAAATTTTTTGTTCGTGTACTTAGTATCGAATGGTTATAAAAGACAGTGAGGAAAAGGGCAGGTCTGAGGTTTTCAAAATTGGCGTGATTTTGTCGCGCATGACGTCATTTGAGAGGCTAACGAAAGCCACGAGCTGTTATGATCCTGTAATTCTAATTATACGGCTTAGAACCACTTACAAGTGCCAACATAGTCAGAAGCAAAATTTATAAGAAGAATAGTTAGTTGGAACAGCAGTCTCAGTTGAATTTAGTTTTAGTGAAGTGAGAGCTGAGTCCCGACATCGATACATGCGTTTGAATTAATTTTATGTTGACAATTAATGAATTTCTAATGTTCAAATTTCCTTTTTTAAGTTATTCTCAACATTCGTGTAACACTGCTTATATTTTTATTATTATTTAGTGGATTATTTAGTGGTAGTAGGAGGACTTGCGTTCCCACATGGACGCCACCACCCTGCCTATTTCTGCCGTGAAGCAGTAATGCGTTTCGGTTTGACAGGTGGGATAGCCCTTGTAGTGAAAACTGACAAATAGAATTCATGTCTCAACATGGGTAGTGGGCATTAAGTTGTTGATCCGTGAGCTCATATGTATTTGTGTGCTTATATGTATACATATTTATATAATATTTCAATCGATAGGTACACCACGTGACATTCGTTTCCAAATAATTATTAATTACCTGATGGTTGTCTAGAAGTGATCGCTTTCAGCGATAAGACCGCCAATTGTACTTTTTTTGTATTTAATGTTTCGCATTGTTTATTCATTTTGTATACAATAAAGAATACTCTCTCTTTCTCTCTCTCTCTCTCTGTCTCTCTCTTTCTCGACAATATATCTACGAAGAAAAAAATTAAATTAAATATCTTATTATCATCTATTTACTGACCGGATGCACGGGCGACATGCATGTGTCGAACGCGGGCGCTCGCGGCTCATCACCGCACGCCCCCTGCACCACTAACAACCTGCAAACAAGAGATTTTTAATTACTTTTATGCCAAGAAGAAACTAATTTTATTGGACAAGCTTAAGCTCCCTCCCTTCCGCCGTCCCACACGCTCGACGGCATGTTCTTCTGCAAACGAGATTTGAAGAATAATTTCATTACCGGCAATAAGGTCGCCTATAACACTTCAGCTAGGTAATACCATTCTGCCTATTTCTGTCGTGACGCAGCTTCGGCTTGGAGGGCGGGGCAGCCGTTGCACATTTTACCGTAGAATTTAGAACTCATGTCTCAAGGTAGGTGGCGAGCCCTTGCAGGCAGACGAGCACACGGCCTACCTGATGGTGAGTGGTTACCGTCGCCCATGGACGTCAGCAATGCCAAGGGCAAAGCCAACCTTCTGCTTACCGTTGCCGTTAACCGCTGGGTGTATGGGCTTTGGTAACCACTAGCATCAGACGGACCGTGAGCTCATCTACCTATTTGAGCAATAAAAAGATATCTTAGGTAGTAGCCAAAAACTCGGCTGTGCCACTGTGGTCACCGCCGTAACTTTTGACAACTTACTATCAAGTCAGGGTCGTTCACTCATTTACCTAAATTAGAATAAACAATATGCAATTGCCTTATCAATGAATTAATAGAACAAAGCTAAAATTAATTTTCAATTTCCTAACTGGAATCATATTTATTCTATATACTAGCTGACCCGGCAGACTTCGCATTGCCTTATTCGATAAATAAAAGACCTAAACTTTTATATAAAATAAATTTAAAACCAACAAAAGGAATCCGTCCGACGGGGGACACATCAAAGAAAAACAAAATTGCTACTTTTATTAAATTCCGAGCATTTTCATATTTGTCTACCTTTTGAACCTTCTCTGGATTTTCACAAATAATTCAAGATCAAAATTAGCCAAATCGGTCCAGCCGTTCTCGAGTTTTAGCGAGACTAACGAACAGCAATTCATTTTTATATATATCTATACATTATTAACCATATCAAGTGTGCTTACGTGAAATTATACGTATTTTGCTATTTTTATTTTTCAATTTCAGCATGATACGAACATAAATATTAAGAAGGTTTATAGGAAGTGATTGCCCGCACGTCCACAAAAATAATAGCAACTAAACAAAGAAACAGGATTCATGCTTATAGTTCAAAGATGCAGCCGTCCGCTTCCAAAAACAATCAGAAAGATAATCTTCAAATTGAAAATTCAGGGCAATAGAACTCACAAATATCGACCTCTCGCATTAAAATTGTATAATCTCAAAACTTACTAATTTTACCGGAGTGTTTTAAAGGTGTAACATGTGATATTTTTAATATTAATCATCTTTGCAACATTTTCTTTTTATTTTTTACCAGTTACATTAACTGTCTTTTAAAGTAAGATAAAATTATGTATTAATTTTGTTAATAGTAGTCAAAACATAGGTAAAATAAAAAAAAAACTAAAACTAAACTTCGCTCTTTTGAAAATATTTATGAGAAGAATACTGGGGATACCAAATGATTCCGCATATTAACTCAATTTCGAATATTTTTGGAAATTGTACACTTTTAATGCGAAAAGACGATATGTATCATAATCTAACCATAGTGCCAAAATCACACTTTACATTCTCAAACACACATTGACGGCTAAAGCGCGAAACACGTTTGCTAATTAGCCGGCAGTAGCAGTAAATTCGCAAATTCACACCAACGTTTGCAAATATTGGCCAAGCAAACGTGTGACCTGACAAATGTCCAAACTCCCACTAGTTGGGCTAACATAGCGGATATTATAAACACGAAGGTTAAATATGCTCTCAAAAGCGGATTGCCAATTAATTTAGATGTTTACTGTATAGAAATTTATTTAACTAGTACTTAGGATTTTTACATTAATGATTTTGCGACGTTTCGCGCGAAGCCATAAATTATATTGACAGAACTAAATGTTCAAGCCGTGTTCTGCATTACAACGCGTTGGTAAGTTTTTATGTCGTGATAAATTTTATTTTAAATTTTATTCTATTAATATTAGGTATGTATTTATTTCATTTAATGCATTTCTAGTATTTCTAAATAAAAGTCTAGATGAGGCTCAATTTTTTTACTTCATTTTACAGTAATCTTTATATATACAGTCAAACCGGTATAAGCGAGAGTTCAAGGGAGCACAATCTCATTCTCGCTTATAGAGGTTTCTCACTAACCCGAGTTTCTCGCTAATGCTCCCTCTGAATTTCATTTCGCGATTTTCCGGATTCAAACGCATTCACTATTTTAAGTTTATCACTCAATGACAGTACTTTAATTTTCCGTTTTGACATGATGCAGAACAGAACTTTCTTTCGCAATTGATTAACGATAAACTGAGTAAGGTCCGATGAACAGGACGGTACACAGGCACACGTTTCCATTCGAAAAGAATGCGATAAAATAACAACGTTATTTAGTTCCATTAAATAGAATAGTTTCAATATTGACGAGAAAACAATACAAAAACAATGGTAGGAAGTTCCACGAAAGTTAAGAATGAGTCATAAAATAGCAGATGTTAAATTTGTAATTTGTTTTGTCATTTGTTCCTCCTAAATAATATAAATAAATAAAGTTCGACTGTCGCATATAGAGGTATAGATACGTAGCAGTCTCACTTACGGAGGTCCATGAGGGAAAAACGACTCTCGCTTACAGAGGTTTCTGTTTCTCGCTAATAGAGGTTTTGGGAGCTTAAAATGACGGGTCCTGGCTATTACTCTCACTTATAGAGTTTTCTCACTTATCCAGTTCTCGCTTACCCAGGTTTGACTGTATATCATTCTACTGTACGGGTGTATTTCACTGCACTCCTCCTAAGCGGCTAAGCCGATTTGAATGAAGTTTTTTGTATGCATTTGGGGGGCGCCCTGCATGGATTAGATTCAAAAATCAGCCCGGCAGATGGTAGTCGATATATAGATTATTTATCTTTCCTAGAAATAATTTATGTGACAAAACAACGTTTACCGCGTCAGTTAGTAATTTCATATTAACGTCAATAAAGTAGATTTTTATTGCTCTCTTCAGTTTTTATTGCTTTGAATAAGCAGATCAGTTCATGATGCACCTGGCGATAAGTGCTTACCGGATCCCATCAACATCAAAAGCCTAATCTCGATTAACTGTTCCAACAACTGCAGATACTCTGCTCTTTATCATAAATAACCAAACCGCGAACAACAAAATCATTAGGCTTCGTACATATCGTTAGTAAAATATTATTTGCCATTTCACAACGGTGCGTGCGATGTTGAATACGTGACAATTATTAGGGCTGCAACACTGCAAACGTAATTATTGTGTATTGTCTAATATTTGACGGAAAATTAACAAGCTTCTAGCGTTTATGTTTCGAGAACGAATTTCACGATGAGAAGAAGCATAAGTAGAATCATATCGAAGGGTAGAAGATTATTTGGTTTTAGCGACATTTAGCCTTCTAATTAAAGTTGAATTTTGTTTGGTATTAGCATCAACAGTGCGATGTTTTTAATTGAATTTCAACTAAGTTTACTTACTCCATTGAAATAACTAAAGAATTTTTTTAGTATGGTATTTTTTCGAATTTTATATTTATTATGACTCCTGTAAAATTACAAAAATTTCGGTGAAATCAAATACGGACTTTCACCCTTTGATATCTAAAGCGCTTTTTTTAAATCAGTTTGTAGGCAGGCAACATACGGCCCACTTTTTTTTTTATTGCTTAGATGGGTGGACGATCTCACAGCCCTCCCCTGCCCACAGCCAGCCCTGGTGTTAAGTGGTTACTGGAGCCCATAGACATCTACAACGTAGATGCGTCACCCACCTTGAGATATAAGCTCTAAAGTCTCAGTATAGTTACAACGGCTGCCCCACCCTTCAAACCGAAACGTATTACTGCTTCACGGCAGAAATACGCAGGGTGGTGGTACCTACCCGCGCGAACACTCAAGAGGTCCTACCACCAGTAAAAAAGTACGTATTTCATTAGAAAAATTGATAACCGCCTACGGGATTCGATCACCGTTGCATCGCTAGATACGAATGCACCGGACGTCTTATCCTTTAGGCTACGACGACTTCGAATGGTAAGTAGTCGCCGTCGCTTGTTGAGTTTACAAATTTCAAATCTCTGCCAATACTTAGAGCTGACCGGGGTCGCTTACAAATATTCACTGAGAAAGAGCTAGAAAGACTATTTAATAAACTGGAAGTACATGCACTATCTAATATTGTGTATCAACTCATAAAACCCTGTGCATCGTTATAGGGTCAAAGGTCAAAATGAAGGTCTTCTAACGAGTGGCTGTTTTTGCTCGCTAGACCGATATCCCTAATGTTTTTATTCGGAATTTATAAATACGAAAACTAATCTAGAAAATATTATGAGGGCGATTAGGTTTTTTTTTATTTTTTTTTATTGCCCTTTTGAGCAGAATGAGCATGGCCCACCTGGTGGTGAATGGAGCGTCGCCCATGGACGTCAGCAATGGCAGGGGTAGAGCCAAAGCCACTGCCTACCGTTTAATACTCGTATCGTATATACATTTGCTAATAAAACGAGAGAGAGAGAGAGAATATTCTTTATTGTACACCAAAAAACAAATAAACAGTGCGATACATTAAACATAAAAAAGTACAATTGGCGGTCTTATCGCTAAGAGCGATCTCTTCCAGACAACCATCAGGTGGACAGAGAGAACAGAGAGACAGAGAGAACTATGACATCCAAAATAAATAAATAAATAAATAAAAAAAGATTAAATTTCAAAAGTACATTTAAATCGCGCAAGTCATTAATTGCGCAAGCGATGTTTTTAATCAGTTTCGCTTTCTAATTGTTTTGTTTTATATATATTTTTTTTTAAATTTATCAACAAGAAAAATCTTGAAATTCTGCAAAGAAAGCGGAAACGGTCGTTGGCAGACGGTCACGGCGAAAGTGGAACGAACAGACTAATGGAGTTACCGAGTCCAGGACTTATATGAAA